TCGGGCCAGATGCATTACATCAGAATAAAGGCATGTCCATTGAATTGTTTACTGTTACGAAATTTCCGGGATGAAACAAAGAGAGGGAGGTAAACCCCTTTGAGGGTTTCCAGGTGGTAGATGTGGCTCTCGTCTCTGGCTATCCAAGTATTGAGTTCGAAACCGTTAAATAAAGTTGCCAACAGGATGTCCAAGTGCAAGCCAGTCGTCCTCGCATGTAAATGGGGCCCTATAGTCCTGCCCACGCATTTACTGAAGGCCCGTAAAAATTTTATTTCACCGTGAGAACAAGATCGCCTCGCAAAAATCAGTTCAGAATTCCCAAAAATTGCCTCTCCCGAAATTCCTTGTTGTCAGTGAAAAATTGATGAGTTGAATCCAAAAGAAAGCCAATAAATTCAACTCTTCCTCGGATTTTTAAATTCTCGCAGATGATTTCCGGCTGTCCCTGGACCCGGAAGGTCATCAACTCCTTCACAAAACCTCTGGAAATACCCCGTCGTAATAACATTTTAAAACTGGATGCCTTATAAAGCCCAGACGAAGGAATCATCTCACCCAGAGTTGAATCTCCAATCGCTCCAACTGGATCTCGCCCACTGGCTAAAAATTAAAAAATGCAGATTGCAAAATTCTTCTGCCTCCTGGCTCTCCTCGGTTTGATCTCAGCAGCACCAGCACCCAATCCAGGTTCAGTAACCTTTCCCGGGGCATCAACAGACGACTGTAAGTTATCTTCGAAAGAAACCGAACGAAAAACCCTCGAAAAATTCAGCATTACGTAAAAATTACATCAGTCACATGAATAATTTTTTGTCAGAGTCTCTGATTCTCTTATTATTATCTCCTATATTATCCCTCATTATCATCATTATATTATCTTATTCAGGAAATAATATCTCTGAATTTTTGGATTGTTAGAGACTGAACTATATTTGATCCTGAATTTTTACTTTTGGAATCTGTAATTGTAATTTGTAATAAATTCAGAGCGATCCTCTCAACGGATAAATTAAAATTGTTGTTTGTTGATGATCAGTTAACGAGGACGAGGCGTCATCTCGGCACTTGTTTGGTTGGAGAAAGAAGAAGAGGCGACATTATCCTGTCGGCTTGGGAGGTCATGGCTGTCGGGGTCACGGCTGCGGTGGAGGACCTGGGTTCGTTGTCCGATCCTCGATGCTAACGAACTCTCCCTTTCCTTTATCCCTCATCCCTGCCTCACCATTCCTTTTATTTTCCTCTCTTCCTTGCAGTCCTGCCGAATATACCCCACAGGCCATTCAACGATTTATCCTGTTCTAGGTGGTGGCCGCCAGGGTACGGGGGTTATTACCCGCAAAATCACCCTGCCAGCAATTCCTTTGCCACAGCATCCACAGGATCATTTGCTAATCATGGAGTTCCAGCTCAAGCCAACGCTCACAGTGCAAGTTTCAACATTGGCCCTTATTCCGCAACTTTTAGCATCGCCCAGGCATTTTCTGGTGGTTATAGACATCCAGGATTCAATTAGAATTTTAAAATAATGTAATTAGAATTTAATTGGCAGACATTTTTAATTTATCCATATCCAAAAATTCAGATCCAATGGTCAAAGATGAAGAGTTGATTTGGGATAAAATTCCCAGGAAGACACAGATGGTCTCGATGACAAATGGATTCGTCTGATGCCATAATTCATGTTCAAATGATGACATAAAAAAGGACATGCTCGTCACACCTGAACCCTCGACAACGTAAACTCGATGAATTTCATCTCTGCCTTATGTAAATATAAAACGGGCGTGTTTATTTATGTGCGGTACTCCTCGGGGGGATATTTCTTCAAGAGAATACACACAGAGAAGCCGACGAAATATTTGATGGTGGTGTCCTCGTAGTTTTGCCATTGTGTCTCGTACATTGCATCCAGAGGATTTTTTTTATTTTCGACTTCAGTCACTTTATATCGCATATGTATGCATATTTTGGGGGCTTTCGTTTGAACGTGTGAAAAAGGGAAGGGACAAAGAGAAAATGAATCTTCTTGGGGTTCTCAGGCAAGATTTCTCTCGTGTTTTTAACCCCAGGTTCGATCCAGACGTTCAGAGACTCCAACTCGTTTTAAAGGGAATATATGTTCAGTCATGCTGGCTGGATGTTGGAGGGAGATGGAAGTTTTTGGTGGAATTATTATCGGGCTGTGGCGACGATGTGGGGCTGGGGCTGTGGTGCATTGCCAAAGGGCCCTTTTGCCCAGCTTTTTTTTTCCAGCACTTTTGCTGGTCAGAAGATTTAAAAGAAACTCGTTCCCTTCGCTCCCACCAGCGACCGGTGCTATTGTTCCTGCTTTACTGTGTTTTCATTTTTTTTTTACAACTTCCACCGGAAGACTATCGTCACAGCCTTATTAACCATCTTCGACAACATTTCAGGCAAATCCACGTTTTTTCAATCAGTTTTTTAAACAATTTATGCAGGCGATTGCGAGATTTTTTTTTGCAGGATTTTGCCCAGCGGATTTTTCCTCGGGTCAATAACTCATTTTTTAAATAAATTTCTGGGGAACGGCTGGTAAAATTGATTTGAAAAAATATTAAGTTTCAACATCGTGGAAGAATTTTTCTGCGTTCTCAGTAAACTTCAGCCAAAATTCCCAGAATTTCACCAAAAATTTAGAAAGAGCGGATTGAAGAAGATGGAGATGAGAAGATAACGACAACTCCTTAACAGATCTAATTGGACCGAATTAATTATCGAATATTTCCAGCTGAAGTGTGGATTTTATCAACCCCCTATTGGGGTTTATAAAAATTCATTTGAGAAAAGTAATTGATTCGTCTTGGAACTCGGAAATTGGAATTTTTAGTAAACCGTCACCAGAAAATGATTTACACCCCCGAAAAAGTTGTAGCCTTGTTAAAAGAGGACATAAATTTTTATACTCATGTCCTTTTTTTAATACATCCCTCCCACTCGTGTCCTCAATCTCCATGGAGAATATATACGATCCTCCGGTGATTTCTTTTTCGTATGTGCACCGGCCCTTTGTCTGCTCCAGCCACCAGATGTTCTTGGAAATAAAAAATGCAAAAATTCAACGAGACGGAGGCATCGTGGTTTTCGGTGAGGACGCATGAGAAAAAAAATGCCATTTTTTAAATAAGAAATAAATTTGAAAAAAGAATGGGTGAAGAGGGTTTCGGGGCAAAGGATTAACTCGGCTTGGGGAATGAGGAGGAAAGAGGGGAGGAAAGGGGGGTGGAAAGGGGGGTGGAAAGGGGGGGTGTCAGGGAAAAGGAGTTGAAAAATAAAAAAACTTATATCGAGATACGAAAAGAACGTGCAATGACCGCTTCATGCCGACATGCGATCTTGGTACAGTAATGTAGCAATCAGAGGCAACTGTGGTCCAATAAATAACGATAAATAAATAACCGAACATAAATTTTTAGTTTTTCATATTTTTGTTAAGGAGTTATTTGCCGATGTCTTCTGGAAAACCCTGAATCGTACCAACGCGAAAAAATATCGGCAATGAATATTAATGAATATATTGAATATTATTTTAAAAATTATTTAATCACGAATCAAGATTTTTAATTAAATGTACCTTTTTTAATAATTGAGAAATTGTTATTAAAGAATCAGTAAAAATTGTTCTCTAATTTTGTAGTAAAAATCCTAAAAACTCGAAAATCCCTTTACGAAAATCCTGTAACGATTTCGATAAAATTTTCACCAATAAATATATCTTTAATTGTTAGAATTCAAAAGCGAACGATTAAAAATACGAAAAAATATCAAACTCCCAATAAAAAAAAAGAACTAATGATGAATAATAAGATTATATGTATTGTGGTGTAATAATGTAAATTGGATGAAATAATGATAAATTAACAAGTGTTTACAGTGAACATTAATGTTTTTGTGGTAAAGGGTTACGGCCCTGCGATGGAGTAAACCAGTCCTCCTCCATGGAGAAAAGAGATGAAGAAGAAGTGGTAAACGTCGAGAAAAGAAATGTAAAAAAGTGGAAAGGATGAAAGAGTAAGAATGAAAAAAAAAATGTAAAAGAGTGAAATAGAAAGTGGTCCGTCCGGTGCAACAACCTACAGTCTGTGTGACGTTTTAAAGTACACATGCCGCGTGTTGTCTGTATACATTTTTCTCAGTGGTTCCTCTTCTTTGGTCCAAGTGTTTTGCCTATAGTTGGTGCTTGGGGGATTGGACCCTCTTGCTGGCTCGGCACCGATTGCTGCTCGCATTTCTCGTGCGGTTGTCTACTCGGAAAGTATCCTCGGGGTATTGTCGGTAAGTCGACACTTTATTTTTACTCAAGATATATCATTTTTAGTATCTCAACTATTTCCAAATCCCAAATATATCTCCATAATTCCATAATTCCATAATGCCATAATTCCATAATGCCATAATTCCATAATTCCATAATTCCATAATTCCATAATTCCATAATTCCATAATTCCATAATTCGATAATTCTATAATTCCATAATTCCATAATTCCACAATCCCATAATTCCATAATTACACCCTAAAATTATCCCCCGATTTTCCCTCAACAACTTTCATTTTTATCATTTGAAATTTACTTTTTTTTTGGTTTAGTTTAGTTTTCGTTTTCGTTTTAATTTCAATTTTAGTTTTATTTTTCAATTTAATTTTGGGTTTAGTTTTAGTTTTAGTCATTCCACAATTTTGAAAATTCTTGATTGAAATGAATCTATTCTTGAAATTATAATGAGAGGCGATTCTATTGAAACTCGAATGATAAAATTTGAATTTCTGCGTACGATTTAATTATTCAGTATAAAGTTTCCTGTGTCAAATGACTGTCTTTGTCACGCGAGTCCCACGCGGTTTGACCTCGCCTCAATTTTTCAACTTTTACTCGTGCACACTCCAGCAATTCCAAGCCCCTTTCAAACATACCCAGTTCCCAAGAGTTGTTTAATAGATTTTCAAGCGACCGAAGCATCAATTCAGAGATCCTAGCAGTGACTGATAAAGTACTTTTGCTAATTTGTTTAGAAAAAAAAAAGAAAAAATCATTTAGGCCATTCCGACATTTATCCCGAAAATGGCGAAACTTTTGGCACTTCTGGTGATCGCATTGGTCTGCGTCTTTGTCAACGTTCAGAGTCAAGAGACTAACACAAAACGTGAGTAACTTATCAATTATTTCCTTTAAAAGTTTGGAGAGAAATTTATTTAGTTTATCATAATTAATATTATAGCGGTATTTGGACAAGCATTTGACGAAATTGTTGTATCATCGGACTTGAATGTCAGGAGAAAATCCAAGGAAAATCGTCAGGGCAAAAAATTACTGACGAACGTGCCGTCAGGAACTACAGGTCCGCCTGGTAAACCAACTGAAATTGCATCGAGGCTTGTATCCAGTGATGGAAGTCGTATTGAATTGGAGAAACGAAAGCGGAGAAACATTACAAAGAAAAGGTAATTGTTTAAAAATTCAAATTATTATGTCCTGAATTACTACGAATTAACATTTGAAATTATTCCGAATAATTAAACTTTCAAGAAAGCAGAATTAAATTCTTTAACCGAAATAAACTCTAACCGGAATTTTTACACCTGGAGAAATCCCTTCCAAAAATTTTTCCAGCTGTCAACAATTTTTATTTTTTTTTCAATTACAAGACATCGCACTTTTTAAAATGAATATTAAATCTTTGAAATCCGAATATTTAAATCCGTCTGATTGCACGCGGACTTTCTACTTGCTGAATTCTTCTGAAATTCCCACCGATAATTTAAAATAGTTTACCCAAACGGTAATTTACCATTTAGGTACCTTTAGGTACAGAATCTGTACCTGAAAAATATCTTATCGACTGAGTTATCAGAATGTCCGACCCTCGCCTACTTTATCGACGAAATTTAATTCTAATTTGTAATCATCTTTGCACGTACGTACTGCAATAATTAATTGACATTCTCTCTCTCTTGTTCTTTCTCTTTCTATTGAATAATAAAAGCAATATCATAAATTGTTTTTGTTTATGGGTAATTATTTTTTTTATTATGTTTTACACACAGAATGCGTATAAATGGTGAAAGGACGCATAAAGTGCAGTGCGGTATATTCGAATAAAAATCTAATGTGCATTCGAGAATTATCGACTATTTAATTCCATTATCAATAATCCTTCTTCATT